TCTTATATAATTCATATAATTCTAATTATAAGCTTTACCTAAAATAGGAAACTAGATCTATAATATCTAATACTTATCTATATACTATTATATATACTTATTATACTATAGTATTTATAATATTAGGCTTTTATACTAAATATATTTACTAAATTATATAGAGAGATTTTATAAAACCGTTTTATAATATACTATTTATATTAATACTATATAATATATATTTTGAAATATAAATAAAAATAAAGCTAATATATTTTCTAATAGAACTTAGATAATATTAGTTCTTTATTTTTAATACTATTATTTAGTTCTTTCTTTAGGCTACTTAAAAGTTATCTTATTTCTAATAATATCTTATATTTGTAATATTTATTTCTATATAGTAGAAAACCTTATATAATAGAAAAAATAATAAGTATTTTAATTTTAAATATTTTAAAATCTATATATATCTTAATATCTCTTATATTTTCTTATAACTTATATTCTATAGCTATTTCCGGATACCCCAAGCCTCTTTTACTAGAAAATCACGTTTGTATTATTGCCCTTATACTTAATTTGTAAAGAGTATTCTTTTATAATATAATAGACTTCTTTTACTATAGCTCTATTACTAAGCTCTTACTATTCCTAATACTTATAAAGGGGTCTTATCCGAGCTCTAAGGCCTTATACCTATACAAGAAATCATAAGTTATAACTCTGATTTTTCGGTTTGAATTATAATAAAGGAATAGCTTGTCCTATTCCTCTTATAGTAATCTATCTCCGTAACCTGCGCTTAGAATATCCGCACTACTAGTGCCCTCCATGGCTCTGGCGCTTCGATCATCCGCCCCACCGTATTGTCTCATATGATATATGTCTCTGTCCCTCCCCTTCTGCTTTTAATTCCCTACAATTTCCCCGAATTGTATAGTAGAATTCGAAATCGGCTTCAGTTCCCAACTCTTAATGATTTTATTTTTGACTCACATTTTATGCGGCACTAACCCTTTATAGCTAGCCCGATTCTAGACCCTGCATTCGCTTACTTCCTTGTCTGAATGTCACGTGGACTTCTGCCTGAGGAACTAGCCGATGTCGGCGGATAAGATACTGACTTAAAGAATTGAGGAGCGGTAGCACGTGCCAACAACCACCAATTCGGCTGACCGAAGGCAGATTCTGGCTCCTTGATTGTGTCATCCACTTTGTGCTTGTACAGTTGCTACTGTAGCGAAATCGGCTTCCGCCTTGAACACATCTAGATTTTTATACTCAGCTATAATACCAAGACACCTTTGCTCTCACTAACCCTATTCTGGCTAGCTGTCTGCCTAAAACGAGGATAAGGATAAGGCGCTAAGGCCACAATTCCTCGCTGTCACGTGCGAGCCAAACCAATCTCGCCCTGTTAACAACACAAGCTCTTATTGGGTGGATAAGCGGAATTTGGGTACATAGAATTTTAATGAATTGATACAAAGTTATCCTATAGGGACTACAACTATAGGTGTTTATATAAACCGTTAAAGGATAGCCAACGGTAGGCAACGGTAGGCTCCAATACCTTATAATAGGTAGAAATGCACCTTTTCGTGACTCAATAATCATGTGACGGACACATGACCTGTTAGTCATACGTGACTCAGAAATCATAGAGATCATGTGATGTGTTTATCCTGTTTGCTCAGTCTAGCTGGCCTCTATATATTTATAGTTAGATGATCCCTATCTTTCCTAATAATGATAACATTCATGCCCACCTAACTATTACTGAATCACTGATTCACCGCTATTATTATCGTCCTTTTCTGACAACGCCCTTGTTGGAACTCGGTTCCAACCAACACCAGGTAGTATGGGATCACACGATAGTGTACTGGACGCGCGCTCCGCACGCCGATGCCCTGAAACAGTGGGTGGCTAAGCAAGGGGAAGGAGAGCAAAATCGCCCTTCCACTCTCTTGGAACGTGTTACCCTACTCACTTCTGCGTACGGCTGCGACTCTCGTTGCAATTTAGAGGCCATGTAAATAACAAGAACTCTGCTACAAATTGTTACAATGACTAACCTCCCTACACTGTCGCATAGGGACTACACAGTGGGATGGATTTGCGCCTTACCTGCCGAGATGGCAGTGGCTGGGGCTATGTTGTATGAGCATTATAATCCTCTACTGTACAACAGAATTCATGCGATCACAATGTGTGCACACTAGATCACATCAGAAGGCACAATGTTATTCTTGCCTATCTCCCAACTGGAGTGATTAGTACGTTGTTAGCGGCAAGAGTGGCGAATTAGTTTCCAGCTGATATCGATCGTATGCCGATAAGCACGAAGACACCGCAGTTGTGATACCGTCTCGTTCATAGGCTCTGTAGTATTATATCCACCAATATCGGCATTTGTCAATACAACGTTGTATTCGCTCATACTTTGTGGCAACCACAATTGCCTTTGTCTTCCTCTTTCTATCGTCATTCGCGTCAACTAAACCCTTCTCCAAATCTTCCTCTTTACCTTTCTTTCCCCGATGGTCGATAGACCCCTTTCGTCGGGGATGATTCTTTCGTTGGAGATAATTGAGAAATTGCCTGACATGTACCCACAAGAAATGGCAGAGGAAGAGAAGGACGGTCAGCGAAACAGTAAAGGCCCAGTAGATCCATAGTTTGTCAGATAGGACTGGCCCTTTAGACGGGTCCCAGTTGAAAAGTGGGAGTATAAAGAGAATCTGCTCTAGATATCAGGATTTTCCAGCTTTCTTGGCCATTTTATATAAACAGGAAATCAGGAGAGGGCTAGAAGAGATATTACGCATAGCAAAGAAGGTTGCGGGTAAGAAAAGCATCGTTAGCATAGCGACGGTTTTCTGCGACTGTGCCATATTGCGGTTCTACTCGTTCTCGTTCTGAGCTAGGAAGTTAGATACCTGGCAAAGGAGGTCAATATGTTTCGTATGACTTGTTTAATGGGAAAACGGGCATAAAGACCTATAATAGATAGTGATATATTAATGCACTATTAAATGCCCTCCATGTCTAATAATCACTATTAGCACGTCTTTCCTAAAGATATAAAGTCTGACGTATCTCCTGTCTAGCCAGGGCCAAGCACTAAAAACCTGGTCTCTTGACTCCCAAAGCTAAGAGCATCCCTATTCTTATTACTTACTAGAATACCGTCTACTGAGGTATTAATATACTGCACACACGCACGCAACGTACTAATCTTCATGTTCAGATAGTTCAAGGCCGCAGAGAGTAAGCGCCCCAATAACTGGGTAGCCGCTAAGGCCTGTAATTCGTGCTTAATCTCTTATAACGTCTGGATGCATCCCATAAGATCTGGGCGGTTATACGTCCTATTAATATGCCAGAATCCCCTGAGAACAAGCTCTAATAGATAATTAGGAATCTCACCGCTAGAGGCAAATATCTCGCTACACAAACCATGAGTTGCTCTCATAATAGTACCCCGAATATAAGATATAGTTTTATTATTCTCAAGTTAGGGACAAATAGCCGCGGAGAGTTTGCATGCGATATGAATGCGACTGAGACTCGGAAAGCGGAAAGAGTAAACTATATAGGTCAGAAGAATATCCTTGGATTCTGCTACCAAGTAGTATCCGACTCACTCTCTTTAGCCTATTCAGTTTTATTCCACACACTCTCTCCAGACCACTCAGAAAGGTATCCTGGCGATAACCATTATACTATAAAATGGGAATCGAGTCTATTAACCATAAAGACGCCCTTATTACTATCGAGCGATCTAGACTTTATTAGTTTCTGAGCACAAATTATATATAATAAGTAGGGGTTTCTGTATAAGACTCTCATATAGCTAGGCTCAATGCTTTTTGGATCTTCTTTACTACCGAATCCTATCCTTAGATAGCCCGTAAGACACTCTGTAAATATCTTTATCGAGAATTTCCTCTACTTTTCTAGCGAAGCTAGAAAATCATTCGCTTCTAATATATTTATAGATAAGATAGTTTGGACAAGCCCCTTGATTTGCATGTTATCTTCATATCCCTGACCCCGTAAACCCTATAGGATATGTTCTCATTATTGTCTCCAAGCTCGGCATTACGTATTAAAGCAGTACGCACGGAAGCATTAGGCATCGATTTCAGACAAGTGCCAGTAACTAAGGTAGAAGGTTAACGGCTTATAGAACCGGCTTCCATGTACCGCGAAGAAATATCCAAGTCTCGGATTTGGCAAAGACCAGTTATATAGCCTGCGTTAGTCATGGAGGACCTTGGGTCATCTTCTAGAAATTAACTACCGTCAAGATTAATTCCTTTTAATAGTTAGTTCAGATTTAGATAAAATAAAGGCTGCCACGTCAAGGCAAATCGACGATCTAGTTAGCAAAGCAGCTACACAAAGCGCGCTCCAGATAATGAGACATATACTATTAAAAGGATATATATTTGCCCATACTACAGTACCATTTCAGAGAGCATTATTGGACTTTCGTTTACTCTTGGCGCTAGTATGTGGACGGCTTATACTAATATACCCAATCACTTAGCTATTCCAATCTGCCGTCGAATAGCCACAAGACGATTTAGGCACCGATAAGCTGGATACAGACCGATACAGGTGCCACACTCTGAACAGGACGTTTGTTAGGAGTCACAAAGATGTATTCATTGCATTAGCCTATTAATAGAGCAAGTTCTGCCTAATTATGCAATAGAGTATAGCAAGGTTATCCAGGCTACAAGCAAGATAATGACCTGAGTTCTTCTACAGAGAACAGTGATGTTGCAAATCTTAGCATTCAAACACGTGGCTTAACCCTATAGAAATAATGCCGATGGCCGGCGATATGGGAAGATCCTCAGGCAGAAGTCCTCACTTCATGCGTAATAGGGAAGTCAGCTAATGCAGGGGTCTGGAATTAAGCTAGCCATAAAGGGTTAGTGCCGCATAAAATGTGGGTCAAAAATAAAATCATTGAAAGTTGGAACTGAAGCCGATTTCGAACTTTACTGTATCTGACCCTTCTGTAACGGCGGAGGCTTATAAGGTAAGTTAATTCTCGCGTTACTGAGAGTGTTCAGGAACGTGACACCAGATCCGGTAAACTCGAAACTATTTATAGCAGCCCGTACCTGGTGAAGAAGATTAACCGCAAAGTCCGGGATCTCTAGGGCTTCGCTCAAATAGTCATCGCGAGAAAGATATCCCGGTACGGCCGCCAAAGCTAGTATGCTTCGTACCGGGTGCCCCTTAGGCAATAATACGCCCGAGATAATATGCTTGGATATAAGGCAATGGATATTAGTGGCCGGCTTCTTTTCCCTTGCTTTTGTCAGAGATGGGTTACTGACGATAAGGGCCTTGATACGTTTAGCCATTAAAGATTCCATACCAGTGACTTTATATATATCCGTAAGCCTGACAAACTCGATGGTAGTAGTAACGGCTTCTTCTGGTGGTAATTCATCAAAGATGACTCTGCCGATATATATCCACTGTACCAGTAGCTCAAAGCTCCGTATAGAAACGATATCCTCTTCTTCCTTTAAGGTTATAAACTGTTTCTCTCCTTCCTGGAAGCTCCCGTTAAACGCAGCCGCAAAGAATATAGATTGCTGGCATAGCAACCCTTTTGGAAGTTTATATTTATGGCCAGTGGGTTCGATTCGAATTTTGACGTACGGTTCGGAATAGAGCGGGAGGAGACTGAGAAGGCATGTTAGTAGGAACGCGCTTCACCCTCAATCCACTGACTCATTAATGAAATCTCTATAAGGCACTTTAAGAGGCCACTTCTGATGAGATTCGGCGGTTATACTATACGTCAGCAATGGTTCAGGCTCTATTATTAAAGTTTTTGAAAGGTCATGGGCGCTAGGGTAGTATTCAATCATTTATAGCAGTGTTAATGAATGCTTATATTACCGTACCCTAATCCCTCAATTATAGGTTAAAGGTGTATGGACGGGAGCTATTAGTATTGTTCGAGGGTACCAGCTACAGAAATGATCGATCATACTCGAAGGTGTAAGCTGGTGAGTTGAGATGTTATTCGAGGGCTTTGCTACAAACGACTGGCCGCACTCGCATATTAGAGCACGAGTTGCTGATTGAAATGTTGCTTGAAGTAATACACTTACCCCGCTCTCTTATCAGTTGGTACACGTGACTTACGGACTAAGGCATTGTTAAAACGTTTAAGGCACCCGTAGTGATCCAGTACTTGTTTCATGCACGTCGCCCCAGTAGTCTCTATATATAGGCTGAAAATGGTCCTGTTATAGATAATCAGGTGAGACAGAGGTCCTGTAACTAGGGAGGCCCTAGAGTGCTAAGCGTACTGGGAAAGCAGTCCTAACCGAGAATCTGTCCTGGCCCATTTGTCCTGGGACAAATGGCCATCCGGGACAGACTATCTAGGTCAAATAGCCACCTAGGGCGGCTCCTATTACAGGAGGTGCATCCTACCTACGCTATCCCATTACTAATATCCCACGGCGGATTCCCTCCTGTAACTAAGGGAATCCTGAGACGGTCTGGAGGCTAGGTAGAAAGCCCTAGATAATAATTCAAGCTAGGATCTCTCAGTCAGGACTAATCTATATCTGGGACGAGTTACCTAGTACTCATATAAATCTGGGGTTCCCAGAGTTATAGGAAGGTTGCTCTAGCCAGAGTTCTGTGTTAGGACAGTACTCCTAGCTCACGAACCGTCCTGGGCCTATGGTTTTTGGTTTTTATATATGGTTTTTATACACTACTTGTTTCTATATTTCCTACTTTTAATACTTCTCTATCTAGTAGCTATAGGTATAACTTAGTATATATGATATTTAAAATAAAATATATATATTCTATCTAAAAGCAATAAAGAAGTATAGAGAATAAGTTAAACTATAATATAAGAAATAGTATCTAACTACCTTATCTATTATAAGGGTTAATAATTAAGTTTAAAGAAGCTTACTTCATTTACTAGATAGCCTTATATAATGCTTTATAACTTATCTCGAATATTATTAGTACTAGAGACTTCTATTTATTAATATACTATAGCCAGAAAGATAAACTAGGCAACTTACCTATAATAAGTAGCTAATTATCTCTTCTAGTCTTTCTTTCAGATTTAAGTACTCCCTAAACAAATATCTTTATATTTTAGTTAATATTATCTATTAGCTTCTTCTTAATATACTTTCTTATAACTTCTACTTAAAAGATCTCTCGTAATAAAATATTACCCTAATAGACCTTTATATACTTTTTAAAAGATTTTTTACTAATATTACTTAATTTATAATAAATTAAGATAATAAGAATCTATTTTTTATTATTAGTAAAATTAAGAAAATAATAAATATTATAATATATATCTAATTATTATTTAGTATATCTTTATTAATATATTATTAAGAAATATCTAGGCTATAATTATAATATCTGGCTTAATTAGATCTCTATTCTAAAGAAAATAAAAGAATTATAACTTATTAATATTCCGAATTTACTAGACTAGATAAATTTAATAAATATAAATCTTCCGGATATTATAGTCTTAAATAAACTATTTTAGATATAATAAATATATTATAATTCCGAAGCTACTAGTTATTACAAGAATATTCTTATAATTATTTATAGAAATATTCTTTCTATAAGATTTACTAAATAATACTAGGGAATTTATAATATATCTATTCTTTATATAATATAAAAGTTTTCGGGTAAGGCTCTTTTAAGACTTAATAAAAAGATTTAAATAATCTTATAGCTTTTTTGCTTATAAAATAATTATAAATAAATAACTTTATAAAAAGAACTAGAAGCTAATAAAAGATATTTAAAGATTAATAACCTGTCTGGTTTTAATATCTAATAACTTCTAAAGTTATATATAAACTCTAATTATATTATATTTATAAGTAATATAGGCCTATATATAACTATAATAAAAGATATTATTTTAGTAAATAATTATATATATTTGAGTAATATATAAAAACAGAAATAGTCTTATTAAAATATATAAATATATATAGAGAAAGGCTTTTTTAGAAAGCAAGTATTACTAAATAAAATAAATAGCTAGTATAGCTAATATCTAATAAATATAAAGAAAGAGTTTATAGAATAATTAGTAAAAAAGTAATATAAAAAGTAATATAATAATATCTAGTAATAATATTTCTTATATAAAGTATTAATAAAGAAATATAGCTAGAAGAGGCTATTTATAATAATTATAAATAATATATAAAAGATAATAAATATTATTACTATTATATTTACTAATTAATAAATTTATTAAAATATATAAAAGCTTATATCTAATAGATTTATAAGAGTATTTAAATAAAGAACTATAAATAGTAGGATTAGATTAATTATTATAAGTATTCTAGTTTAAAGTCTGGCTTATAAAATAATTATATTTCAGAACTCGAAATAATATATATTTCCTATAATATAAATTAGCTATATTAAGATATTAGCTCGACTTTACGAGTCTAAAAGCCGGTATTAATAAAAAATATAGTAATAAATTAAATACTTTAATATAAGAGAAAAGAGATATCTAATAATATAAGTAATTAAGGGAAAACTATTAAGAAATAAAAGAAATAAGAAGCTATTACTTATAATAATAATATATATAAAACTAATATCTATAACAAATAAATAAAAGCAAGAATAACTATTTATTATATAAATAAAAATAAAGGAAAAGAAAAAGAAAAAAAATCTAAAAATAGAATAAAAGAATAATTATAAGATTTTATTAGAAAAATTGAATTATAAAGAAAATAGTATAACTTCTTTATTTATTAGAGTTAAGAAATAGTTTCTATTAAAATATTATAGGCTAGAAAAATTTATTTTATAATTCGGAAAAATATTAATAATTATTTTTATTTAAAATATATAATTCTATAATTTTAAAATATAAATACTTAAACTAGAAAGAGCCTAAACTAGATATTATTTATTTTAAAACCTTTTAGTAAAAATTACTTTATTAAAGAAAGCTATAATTAGCTTCTAAAAACAAATAAATTATAAATATAAATTTGAATTATTTATAATATCTTTTTAGGATTTCTATAATAGCCTAAATTAGATAAGTAATTAACCTTAATAATATATTTATAATAAGGCTTTTTCTAAATATAGTTAAATTATATAGCTTTTAAATAAGCGAAATCCAGAATTAGTTTAAATATAAGAATTATTATTAATATAAATAAAAAGAATTTAATTTTAAAAAATTAAGAGATTTTTTATAAAATAGCTAAGCTTATTAAAACTCTTATTAATTCTTATTAAACTAGTAGACCGAGTAAATAATTATAATATATAAAACTAAAAACAGAAATTATTAATTTTAGAAAAACTTTAAGCTTATTTAATACTTTTAAAACCTTTATTATAAAACGAATTCGAATCTTTTTTACTATAACCTAATATAATAAACTAATACTAAATTAAGATTATAGAATTAGAATAAATAATTAAGATATAGTAATATTATTTATTATTAGTTTAAGAATTAATAAAGAAATTTATATATATTAGAAATAATCTTCTATTAATCTAAATTTAAAATAAAGAATTAGACTTACTTTTCTTTTAACTAAAGAGCCTATATTATACTAATTTATATTATTTATAAGAATATTATTTTATTTATAATAAAACCCGAGATTTTATAAGAAAAAAAACAAACTATAAATGTCTTTCTATTTATAGTTTATATATTATATAAAAAGAATAAAAAGAGGCTAGTAAATATTAGTATAAAATTAGCTTTATAATTATTATTCTTAATAAGTTATAATATAATTCAGATATAATAGCTTTTTTTTTAGAAATATTAGCTTTTTTAAAAAAAGAACTATTTATATTAAAAATAAAAGTTATATTAATATAATATAATATAATTAGAAATAAGATTAGATCTAATTATATAATTCAAAATATAAATTATATTATAAGATATAAAATAAAAATATATTTATATTTTCTAAATAAATTCTTCTAATTAAAAAATTATTTAAATAAATAATATAAATATCTAAATTCTTATTTAAATATACTAGTCTTATTTACTACTTATAATATATATCTAAATAATTAATTAAAAAAGATTATATATATTAAAGATTTTAATTTTATAGCTATAAATAATATATAAATTTATAATTATAAAATAAAATAAATAGTTTTGGCTATTATTTAAAATAAAATAAGTTTATTAAATATTATTTAAGCTTCTTTTTAATATTTCTATTTATAAATATATCTTTCGAAATCAGGAAATAAGCTAATATATAAAAAGATATTAAGATCTTAGTATTTTTTAAATAAGTTATAAAGATATACTAGTAAGCTTTAATAATAATCTAAATTAAAGATTAGAGAATCTTATATTTAAAAGCTTATCTAATATTATAAAAGAAATAGCTTTTATAAAATTAATTATCTTAATAAACTAGTTTATTACTATAGACTTTAGAATCTTTCTTATTTCGCCTATTATTTCTAGTATAATTATTTCTAGTATAATTATTTCTAGTATAATTATTTCTAATATAATTATTTCTAGGAAGTTTAAATTTACTAAAATATATTTTCTATTATTCGGAAAAATAGTAAAATCTAAATATATTTAATTAGAACTAATATTTATTTCTATATAATAAGACATATAATATTCCGAAATAAAGTTTATATAATTATATCTTATATTTTATTTTATTAGTTTATTATTCTATTTATAATATTTTATAATTTTCTAGTATTTTATTTATAGGTTTCTTATATAATAAATAAAATCTAAATATTTTTATTATAGAATTTAATATTTTAAATTTAATTTCTTATTAATTATAGATATTATTAGATATTTAAAGTTTAGAGGCCTAATATAAAAATATAATATTAGATAAGAATTATATTAAATATTTAAAAAAAAATAAACTTTATATAGCTAGTATAAAAAAGTTTTACTAAATAGAAAAAGAGTAATATTTTAAGAAAATTAATAAGTACTTTTATAATAGTACTTATATTATATTATATTTGAGCTAGTATAATTTATATTAAATAAGTTTAATATTTATATTATTTTATTATATTTAATTATAAATTAGATATTAAATAAGATATTTAATATAATTTCTAATTATATTAATAATATAATTTAATAATAAAATATTAAAAAAAAAAGCTTTAGTTTTTAATTCTCTGGCTTATTTATTATTTAGTTACTTTTCTAGCTTATAGAATATTTTTATTTAAATTATCTTAATTTATATATTATAGGCTTTATAAATTTATTTTAGCCTATTTCTAATTTAAGAAACTTAACTTATAATACTTGAATTTAATTTTTAAGCTACTTATATTATTTTAAAGAAAGTTCTTAAATAATTATATATCTAGCTAATATCTAATTATATATTATTTTTATTAAATCTTTCTAACTTATTTATAAAAAGAAATTACTAAAAATAAATATAATATTTAATACTAGTAAATATAAAAATAGAAGTTTAGAGCTAAATACTTTCTTATAGCTTTATAATACCCGAATATATATCTTTTCTACCTTTATTAGCTTGCTTTAATTAATATAAAATAAGCCTAGATTATTAATTATAATAAGTATTAATATATATTTTAGTTCTAGGGCCTTTTTCTTATTTTATAATACTCGAATATATATTATTTTTACTTTTTCTAGTTTATTTTAATTAGTATAAAGATTATTTAGATTATTAATTATAGTAAATACTAATATATATCTTAGTTCTAGAATTTCTTTCTTATTTTATAATACCCGAGTATATATTACTTCTGCTTTTATTAGTTTATTTTAGTTAATATAAAGCAAGCTTAAATTATTAATTATATTAAATATTAATATATATTTTGGCTTAAATACTTCTTTATAGTCTTATAATATCTAAATATATATTACTTTTATTTTTTCTAGCTTGTCTTAGTTAGTATAAAAGATATCTAGACTATTAATTATATTAAGTATTAATATATATTTTAAATTAAATATCTTTTTTCTATTTTATAATACCTAATTAATTTTTATTTTTATTTTTTCTAGCTTATTTTAGTTTTTATAAAAGTTATTTAAGCTATTAATTATATTAAATATTAATATATACTTTAGTTCAAATATCTTTTTATAGTCTTATAATACTCGAATATATATTATTTCTACTTTTTCTGATTTGTTTTAGTTAATATAAAGGTTATTTAGATTATATAAAGGTTATTTTATTTTCTTTATATTTATCTTATTTTTAAATATAGCTTGTTTTTATTTAATAATATATTAAAGTAGTTATTATTATAATATTTATAAGTTTATTTTATTTTTTATAAAAACTATTATAATAATATAACCTAATACTAGCTATATAAGACTTTTATTCTATTCTTTATTAAATATAAATACTATTTATAAATATATATAACTATATATATTATATTTTTTAAACCCGAATTATTATTAAAAAATATTATTTAAATTAACTAACTCAAAGCTATATAGTAAAATAATAGCCTTATTAAAGTCTAGTTCTATTTTTATAAGCTTTTATATCTATTAATTATTTAAGAAATTTATATATTAAAAAAATTCGAATTATATATCTTATTAATTAAAATATATTTATAGTTATAATAATTTTATTAATATTAGGTTTTATTATTAGATCTAATTAAAAATAATCTATTATATTATATATAATAAATAATTTTTATAAAACTCTAGTTATAGGCTTATAATCTAATAAAGTTATTAATATATATTTTAGATATATATCTATTATAAATAAAATAAGAGACAGGCCGTTTAATTCTTTAATAAGTTCTATAATATTAGGTTCTATTTATTAGTATTATATAAAAAGTTATATAATAAATAATATATCTTTTATAATATTTTTTTATCTAGATATATTTAATAGGATCTCAAAGCTTTTTTTAATATCTAGTAATTTCTAAATATAGATATAATAATCTTAATTAACTTATAAAAATTATATTATAATAATAATTAAATTCTAATTAAACTAAAAAAGGAATTAGTATATATTAATTACTAAATAGTTAAGGTTTCTAGATATTTTGGGGTTATTATAATTATTATAAATTATTAGCTAATATATATTCTTCTATAAATTAAATTAAGTTTTAATTATATATATTACTTAATTAATATTATTCAAGTCTATACTAGTAAGCAAATTAGTTAAAGAATAATACTTTAATACCTGCTAAATAATATCTCGAAAACTAAGCTTAAGAAAATCCTAATTATTTGTATTTAACTAGAATATTACTATATATTTCTCCTTATATTATCTGATATATTTAATTACTAGCTAAGTTTTTCCGATTCTATTAAGACTATATAGAATAATACAGGATCGACTATTATAACTATAAAGCAGTTTATATATTTTTAATAACTTCTTCTCTCTTGTAATAAATTATATAGCTTTAGGAAATAATGCGAGATTGAGTCCTATAGTAAACTGTTCGAAATTAATACCTGTACCGGTTAGCTTTATTACTTCAGGCAGTAATATCTAGATAAGAAACTTACCCTTATATAATTTATAGATCTCTTCGTCCAGCCGCCTGAATACCTGGTCCCTTCTCTCCCTATAGTTCGGTACTATAGAAATATCGAAGACCCCGATTAAGTAATATGCTTTATCCTCTTCAATTATAGTATTATGGCGCTCTGCCCAAGACCTCCGTTCTTTAATACTGAAATTCGATAGTATATTGCCTCGGAGAGCATTCTTCTCAATACCGGTAATCTCGTATATCTTAGATTCAAGTAACAATTTGCTCCCAAGTCGCTCACCCCTCTAAGCTGAAAAAGTCAACTAGCCTTGGTACGATAAGTTCTTGAAGTGTCCAGCCTCGGGTAAACCATCGACTCTTTCTGAAAGCCTCTTCCCATACCCTCTGATCCGTTCCGGTATTAGGTTTGCAGATATCCGAAAGGTAAACGTAGCAGTGCACAGCATTCTGATACCACCGAAACATGGAATTAATCGCCGCGCCAAGCTCGACCGTATTCTTTTTATCGATATAACAGGTATTAACCCAGAAGTATTGTAGTCCATCGGCTGTAGCCTGCTTCGCGCAGAACTGTATCTTCCTCCACCCAGCCTTGCTTACGGTCTGGCTCATGTCCGCACCGGCTTCCATATCCTGAAATATAACCTCTTCGTCTCCCCAGGTATGAGAGAGTATTGCGTAAGCAGGGACATTGCCGCTGGGAGGTTTGCGAAAGACGATCTCGCCGTCGGATTTGCGATGTAATAGGCGTATGAAAGCCATGGGAAGGGGTTCGCAAGCAATTTCATGGCAAGCGCGACTCGTGTGACTCGTTCGGCATATCGGCGCAAGTATTGCGATTTAAAGGTCGACAGGATGGGAAGCAGACGTCAAAGGACGGATCGTGAGAAGGATACGCAGTCGTGATCATGGGCGCTGCCCACGAGGCTGCATTGTGGCGCTTGCATAGCGAAGGCAGACGACGTGGAGTGACGCTTTCACGTCGCTCATTTCATTGGAAGGCTTAAGTGCTGCAGACTGGATCCTGGGATAAGTTGCTTATTGCGGTATTGCGGTTGGCTCGAAGTTGACAAGCGGCCAGATAGATGATCACGGAGTATATTCGCAGACGCTGAAAGAAGTATCGTGCACAGCCGTATGCTTGTAACTTTCAGAGTATCTCGTGGATTTGGCCTAGGCAGGTGCAAATAGGGAGCTTGCTTGGCATCAATTCTACTAACCCAATATTCTATAGCGTAGACGCCGCTATAAAGAGAACCCATGATGCGCATCAGACGCCCTTCTCTCCCCACTCGGCCGGACTCGCCCACACCAGATCTGATTGTCCTTAAAGACTGATGTATTACTTATCTGGTATTACGCTTCACTATGAGGCCTCCGAAATCCGAATAGCTGGCGATGTCGACAACGCAGCAGGGGGGTGAATCTTGGGTATCAGATTGTGCGATAAACAAATCGACAGCGACAGCGACCAAAACTTCTGGTTTCGCGCGCTATTGTAAGGATCTTATGGGCAAATAACTAGGGAATCAAATAATATCATATATAGAACGACAAACTGATAAAGCAGAATATAAATTGTTGATTTGCCATTTTCGTCTCGGCACACGGTGCGTCTCGCTACATAGGAACAGACGTTATATAATGCTTTTTGGGTTAGGCTTCTCACCGATCTTGACCTCGCCTTTCGAAGACACGAGAATGTTCTCTGTTGAGATACGTGGGTGGTCGAGTTTCCTAGACCAGATGAACCGAATGCCAGCCAGAACCTGCGATGTTAATAAAGGTAGAATGGGGGAAGGGTAACATTCGACTCACCTAACTAATTATATATGCTATCTCTCGTTCTGTTAGATAGATCGAGTGAAATAGCAAATCTTCTATCGAGAATCCTATATACTCGGTAAATACAAAGATTTTATCTTTAAATAAATAGTATTCGCAGATATTAACGAAATTGAGATACTGGATTTCAGGGAAAAAATAACCCTCTTTATCATAAGATACGATACTAAAGGTCCTTATTGCCCGGATTCCTGTTCCATTATTATAGAGGACGAGTGAGGGGCCTAAGGCAAGTTTGAGTAACGGTTCATAGAAGTTCCAAGGGTTATATATGAATAAGGGGATTTCCCTCATCTGCGCCGTCCAGAATTCTTTCCTGGCGACTCTGGGAGCGGGGTGCATTAGACAGAGAGATGTTAAAGTACGGCGACGTTTTCTTATAGTTAGGGTTAGTAGAGTTACTGCATTAGCGGACGCTGTCTCCGTTCTTTCCCTCATATAGCAATGGTTGAAGTGAAGAATTAGCAAATTAGGAAGGCATTTATAGTCCCTGTAGCCCTCGCCTATAGCAGCTAATTATAGTACCGTTTTAAGTGGCTAGTGCAGGAATAGGAGGGGTCGAAAATGACCCGAATCGCTTCGTTCCATTCGGGTCCCTTTGCTTACTAAATGATGCGATTTCATCCAAGCGGGTAACGTTATAAAGCGCGGGAGGAGGCAGGGGCCAAATTCCTAACCCTTCCTGTTAGTTAGGAATTTTGACCCCGTCCAATACTGCGAATGTATTATTCAGGACTATCTATTACTTACTATATAGCCTTTGAGCAGGCAGATATACAAAGGTTACAAGAATATAATCTCATATTAATAAAATAGCGTCTCTCGATCTAGGCGAAAAATCGGAGCCAAATGTCCTGAATAGTTCAGATATAGACAAGGTCTAGTACTATCCCCTCTCCCCCTCCCAGATTAATTATTTCTAATAGCCTATTAGATATTCAAGTATATCGTCCGCTGGCTATAAAACCAAGAAACCACCCGGTATTTCAAAGACTACCCTGCCGCTCGTAATATAATTATAAGCATAGTTCAGGAAATAATATGACCGAAGCTTCTCTCTACTCCTGCCCTAATAGCTTGCAATTCCAATATACCCGGCAAATAAGCCTTGACCCTTCTACTATCTTAATATATTATATAAGAAGAGCCTGGCCATAATAAGCAGGTTCCTCTGCCTCTAGCCTCTTAGTATATTATATATAAAGGAGAGTTTGACTATAATGACCCTACTAACTCGTATAAGAGCCTCTCCGGAGTATATTATAACGAGAGCTCATTAGCTATTTAATAAGAGTATAAGTAAGAAAGCCGGCTATTAAAGTATATATATATTAAGGTTATAGGCTACTATAGAAGCGAATAAAGTAGTAGTTCCTAGTACTTAGCGAATTCCGACTACTGGCCTCTAGCTAGCTATAGTAATAACCTCTATAATTAAGATACCTGTTTAAATAGTTAGCTCTCAGAGTAGGCTACTATATTATTAATATAATATAACTCAGATACCTCAGAAGACTTATCCCGAAAATATAAGTATTACTTCGAGTATAAAGAAGATTTAAAACGTTCTTATATCCAGGCTATAGATATAACCGAGGTTAAGCTCGGGAGAAGAAACCTCGAATACTCTAGATTCCTCGAACTCCAGCTTGGAACCGATTAAGATAAAAGATATGGCTAATAGTCTGAGATCTCGGAAGCTAGCAGGAATAGCCGGCCCTTAATAACTGTAGTTACCCTGCTAATACTACTATAGAGAGTTATTAGATTACGATATCTATCTCCTGGAACCCCGGATACTAGTCTATTAGATAAAGGAGATAATAAGTTCTCGATACTATTTATATCCTTATATATAAAGCTAGGAATAATTATAGATACCGTAATACTAGTAACTATTTGGGATTACTTTAAATACTAATAAACCCCGTATTTCTCGGCAAATAATTCAGAAAATACTCCAGAAGAAGATATAGGCCCCGATATTATTTCGGCCTCGGATTAAAGGCTTTAGAAGCTTAAAAACCGTATTATTAGTAATAAGGAAGACGAGAAATTAATTAGGTAATAGTAAATAGCTATTTGTATTTTAAAGAAAGTATCTTTTATAAAGCTAATAGGTAAGTATATTAAGGAAAGAAATACTAGGAAAATAGTACCTAAGAAGAAATAAAAGAAGTAATTGCCTTAATTATTACTAAAAGACCGGTTTATTAACCTTCTCTTTTCCGAAATAATTAAATATAAGGGCGAGTAATTAAATAAGATAATATAAAATATATAAGTAATTAAGAAGAAAGGCCTATAGAAGAATATTAAGAAAAAATTTAATTATTAGATATAGCTTGGGGAGCCGCTAGCTATAATAGCCTAGTATTATAGTATAGCCTTTATAGCTTTCTTTCCTAAAATACTAACTAATAAAAAATAAGTTTATATTTAGTTATTTACTAGTAATATATAATACTTGATTTAACTAATTATAACTTAGTCTTTATAGACTTTTATAGCCTCAGATTCCAGTTTTCCTTAATTATATTAATTTTATTTAACTAGATCTATTTATACCCGTTTATTAATATAAGCGATTTGGGAATCGGGTACTATTAGGGCTAAGCAAGTATAATATATACAGGGTCGCACGTAACTTAAGGGCATATAATAAACCTCGGATATTACAGGTATTAATCAAGGAGTTCGGCAGCCCTTTAATATCCTAACTAACTACTATTTATATTATATATATTAGGCTTATAAATTACTAATTATATATATACTATTAGGGCCTCCTATTTAGAGGGGGCTTCCCTAGACCTTATAGGAGAAATAGAGATTAGTTCTATACTAAATTTAATACTATGGTTTTATAATATACTAATTTATTTTATTATCTTATTACTTACTAATAAATACCTTATAAGCTAATCTCTTTACCCTTAAAGAAGGTAGTTTAATAAGTAATTATATCTCGAAATCTGCGAAATATATAATCTCTTACTAAAGCTATTCCTATAAAGAAAGTTAACCAGATTAATTCTAATATGGGTAATAGTAAAGGCTCGTCTAATACTTTTAATAGGGCCCCTCAGGAGCCTTCGAGAGCTAGTAATAATAACGGAAATAATCCCGGTAATAATTAAGATACTGAGATTAATACCCAAATTACTATTACCCAAGCTATAAAATAGGGCTTATATACTAAAGTCGAAGTGCTCTAATAAAAGCAAGAATTAGTAAATATAATTAACTAGTATATTCTATAGTTAGAGTAATATAAGGGTACTTTTAGGGATATCTTATGGTTTATTATATCTTATAGAAACTCTATTTATAAGTTTATTCCCTCTTTCTTAGTAATTCCTATTAGGGAACTTCCTGAAATAGAATTAGAACCTATCTTCTTTCCTAATATAATAAGCTTTAAAAGTAATCTCAATACTATTTATTAGAAGCTATTATATAATATTCTGAAAATATATTTGAACTAAAAGAAGCTTTTTAAGATCCGGATACCTGACTTATATTATAGAAAGTTCCTTAAAAAATAAAGAATATTTATATTTTCCTGGAAGGCGGTTTTTAGGACCTAGCCTTAGACTTATAATAAATACTTTTCTAGAGTTAACTCTATTATAAGTACCCTTAGGAACAAATCTTATAATACTTGGAAGGCTATAATAAAATAAAGCCTACTATTATATAAGATCTATTAGAAGTAATTTAAGGCCTATTTGGCTAATATATTTTAAGTACCTTAAATCCGTTAATAAGATGCTTTTAAGAAATTCCGAGATCTTTATTAGAAAGATAGTAAGATAATTACCGAGTTATATACTCGAATAATTAGTCTTAAAGTTAACCAGAACCTATATTCTAAGAGAGACCGGATCCGGACTCTTAATATTACTTTATCTAATTATAAGACTTATTAGATACTTATATCTATTTTCTTAGGAAATAAGGTAATATCTATTTCCAAATAGCTTAAGAAAGCTCAGAAAGCAGAATATATTACTTATTTCAAATTAAAGAAAATAAAAGCAGAAAAGTCTAATAAGGGCAATTCTATCCCTAAAGACTTTGACTTAGCAAATTCTGATTTATAAGGCTATTAAAAAAGGAAGAATAAATTCCGAAAATTATATAAGAAACCCTTAAATAGTATTTTAGCTTCTTTAAGGCCTTAATAAAGTACTAGTTCTACTTTAGATATAGTTTATTAGACTTATAAATAAAAAGAATACTTTTCAGGAAATATAAAGTATTTCAAGTATACTAAATAGGCTTA